CTTATGGTGCGGCAACACCAATAGTTCACCAAATATGCACCATCAACGTTAGGAAATACACCATACAAAACAGAGTAAACAGAGCCCTGCATCACCAAACACACACCATTAAGTGTGAGTAAAAACACCATACACTGTTCGGAAATACACCATTGGGGGTGGTGAGTTATATGGTGTGTTTTTTTGAGTCTGTTGTGTATTTTGTGATGTTTTATTACATTTCATTGGGGTGTGTTTTTATTACACTGTTGGTGCATATTGTTAACACTGTTGGTGTATTCTGGAATTTGACCGCACCGCCGCACCGTAAGACCCCGCCGCATATGAGCGCTCTTCTATATATATATATATATATATATATATATATATATATATATATATACATACCATAATCACATCCACACATTATAAAAATATTTATACTCCACGTAAAAATTAATCATTCATAATTTTTTTTTTTAGAAAAATAAATATTTGGAGTAAATAATTTTGGTGAACATAAACACTTACCTAAGAACGGAAATCCCGAACCACCTTGAGTTGTTTCGCTATTTCTCTGCTTCATCCATCGTACTCTCAAGTATACTTCCTCTCCTCCTTGCCGATTTTGCTTCCGTTTCTTAGAGAGGAGGGAAGAATCAGCCCACGTGAAACCTTTATATTCCCATCTTAATCAATAGTGATATAATTCCCTTTAATATGATTGTGGTGTATGGGCAGCTAGCCACCATACCCACAATAATATATTTTTATTTATTTTAATCCTTCTTTCTTCCCCAATAAACCTAATTCCTTGCCTTCTCCTCATTTCCTTTCTTTTTCTTTCATCTCTACTCTAAAGATTCCTCCCATTCCAACTAAATAAATAAATAAATAAATAAATAAATAAATATATATATATATATATATATATATATATATATATATATATATATATATATATATATATATATATATATATATATATATAGGGACGCACTCAGGTGCGAATAAGTGCCCAGGAAGGAAATGCAAACGAATCAGCGCGTGACACGTGTCCAGATCTAATAACTTAAAAAAAAACGCGGTGACATTTTCGTAAATAATTGAACATCGAAGTGCAAGTAAAATCTCTTATAAGTGCACCTATTTTCACCTATAAGTGCATGTAATTTTTGCCTTGTTAGCATTCACTTTCCGCAACCATTCATGCACCTGGGTGTGCTTATAACTATATGTGCAACTATTTATAACTATAGGTGCAACTACTTATAACTATATGTGCACCTACTTTCACCTATAAGTGCATGTAATTTTGTCTTGTTAACATTCATTGATCTGAGTTCAGCGGGTAGTAATACTCCTGAAAACCACTCGCAAACATTCATACACCTAGATGCAACTACTTATACCTATGTGTGCAACTACTTAGAACTATAGGTGCAACTACTTAGAACTATTAGTGCAACTAAGTATTGATGCTCAGTGTAAATTTTTACTTGCACCTATAATACATTTTACATGCACTTGTAATACATTTTACTTGCACTTCGATGTTCAATTATTTACGAAAATGCCACCGCGTGTTTTTAAAAAATCAGTGTTTCTCATCCATTAGATCTGGACACGTGGACGAACAGAATCCATTCCTATTTCGCGTCTGGGCGAGCCGTTCCCACCCGAGTGCAACTCTATATATATATATATATATATATATATATATATATATATATATATATATATATATATATACACACACACACGTACATATATATATTTACACATACATTAGGATTTAGAAAAAATATTAACATTTAACATATAACCATGGAAATAGAAAGACATAATGAACAAATTATTTACATATATATCTATATATCATACGTATGACATACATATATATAACATAGGTTGAACATATATATAAGATGTCTATATGGCCAAGTTTCAGTGCGCCCGGCCTTAGCTTGCTATCGGTGCGGTCACACCATTAGGTATGCAAACACGCACCAATAGTATTAGGAAACGCACATAAAAATTAAAAAAAAAAAAAAAAAAACATCAATGCACCAAAAAACGCACCACTAGGTACGCATCACCACAAAATGCACCATTAGGTATGCATAAACACACCACATAGACACATAGTGTTCGAAAAAGCATAATTAGGTGTGGGAAAGTATAGTGTACTTTTTTCATTTTTTGGGTGTGGTGTGCTTTTAGGTGCATTTAATTGTTGTGCATTTTCTAACACTATTGGTGCATTTTTACATACCTAATGGTGCGGCCGCATCGACAGCACGTTAAGGCATGATCGCATTTGAACTCATATATATATATATATATATATATATATATATATATATATATTCTCAAAAGTAGAAGTAATAATTTTTTTGTATTCATGTATTAATGAATTGAAGTATGTGAGGTATAATTGATGACAGCATGGTCCATTCTCAAAATTGTGACTTATAAAAGGACTTCACTCATTGAAACATTTACAGCATTCCCATTTCCCCTAAGCTAAAACCTTGTTTTGTTCTCAATTAACAAAGATGGCTTTTTCTTCTTCGGTTCGTTTGTTTGCAACAGCCTCACTCTTGGTGATGCTCCTCATAGCCTCTGGTTTGCTCTCTCCCTTAGCTTTCTCCATTATATATTTCTTCTTTTTAACATGGTGTGTATGTGATGAATTGAATTATTTCGAATCGATCTATCATTGGTGTGGGGTTTTTTTAGTCTGAAAAAAAATAAAGATGTTAAGTTTATGGCAAAAACTTATACTGAAAATATAATGTTAATCATGAATGAAGTATTTTTCACCCTATTCAGTTCAATTCCAAGGCCAGGCCTCAGATCACCTTATGAACAAATACTGCATTGTAAAGTACTCAAAAGAAACCATACATTTTCTTCTTCTTGTTTGATGATGTGAGTGTTAATTCGATCTAATTGTGCAGAGATGGGTGCTGCTGAGAAGTTGAAGGGGTTATGTTTTGCATTGAATATTCACAATAAATGCAATAAAGTTTGCAAGTCTGATGGGTTTGCCGAAGGGATCTGCATCTATTTCATCTGCACCTGCAAGAAGGGTAGTTGCTAACTACCTTAATAATATATATATATATATATATATATATATATATATATATATATATATATATATATATATATATAAAGGTCGTAAATAATATAATCCAAACATGCATGCATGGTGGAGTTTTTCTTTTCTGCTTTGGTAGCAAGCAAGCTCCGATCCTCTCATGTTGTTTGGATTTGGTTGCTACATTTATATGTATTAACATGTTGTGTGTTTCATATTCTTGTCGGAAGTTATGCAATTTATATATGGTGTCGAAAATTTTTCACTGCACCAATTAATTTTCATTACTTTTTATAAAAGTACTCAGTTTCTTTTGGAATGATGTAAATCACGGTAACTCAATGACTCAACAAATAAGGAGACAAACCTATTTGGTTTCTATACAAGCTCAAAAGGTGTAGAGAGGTAATTTTCAAAAACAACTCAAGAGTTCAATATGTCACTGCACACATCATTTGAGCACATTTCAAAGATAATATAAACAATGACATATATTTCATCCATATGCAAACCTCAATCAATCACCATTTAAGAGTCAAGACAAATCAAGCACGAAATATGTCCTTTTCACACTTTAGAACGAACACCGACCTCGGTGTTCACTCATGTGGACACAGGAGTGAAAAATGAGTGGGTGGGTGAAACATGATTCCCATTTCCACACTTTAGAAGTATGGTGTGGGGTGCGATGATAAATTATTTGAAATATATGGTTACAATACAAATTCTTATAATGATATAGTAAAATTTAACTTATAAATTTCTTTATAAATTTTCATGCATTGATAAAATTTTAAGAATGATGTGTAAACTTGTTCAATTAGAGCTGGTGGAGTGTCATCATATCAATTGTTTAGACAATGGTCCTACTATTAAAAGTCCAAGCGATAGTTAGTTCGTGTAGATTTAACAATAGCATTTGAAATAGTATAACAGGAGTTGGTCTATAGAGTGATATCATACACTCCAATGTCGTGATCAAAAACTATCGCTTGAACTCGAGTTCCCTAAATTTAAATAAATAAATAAATAAATAAATAAATAAATATATATATATATATATATATATATATATATATATATATATATATATATATATATATATATGGAAGGGATCAGGTGCATTTGTGGCTTCCCGTGCGGTTGCGGTTGATTAATGTGCGTGAGTTTTATACTTACAAGTTGTCATCCTTTGAGAACGACAATTCGAAGAGGTACATCCGAGAGGTTACTCGAAAGGTACCCTGAAGATTATGTACGAGAAGTGGCTTACTCGAAAAGTAAAATGACTTTTTAGTGACTCTGAGAAGTCAACTTACTTCTTGATTAGGCTGAAAAGTAGACTCTCGCCAGTGATCGGATGGTACGTTTGCTTCTAGTTGACATTATCCATTCAGAATTATCCGAACAGTCAGTGCATCAAATTGCTTAGCACCTTTCGAAGAGTACTACAACCTAGCACCATTCGGTGCTATTTTCATAACTCTTTATGTTTATTTGAAAGGCATACTCTGATCTTTATGTAATTAAGGTGCACAATTAGCACCTACCATAAAGTGCTATTTTCCACGCACTATGCTAATTACCTAGCATTCTTTCACATCGTAACATGTGACTTCTCTCAAATAAGTTTATTTTGACTTCTCTCAAATAAGTTTATTTTGACAATTTATCAATTTCTTTATTTAACAACGAAGAACCCGAATCGATTTTGACCTAACCCAAATCAGAAGTGGACTCATATATATTTGTACCACAAAATAACCACTTATAAATTGTCATTTATGCAAAAATATCCAACACATTACATTAACGTAACGGGCTTGGCCAGGATGAAATAAAACATTGAAGTTTGGACAAACGTAGCTTATTCTAGTTAAGAAAATGACTCATAGAAACACACTTAGTTTGTGTCTTGAAAATCAAAGAACGAAATTGATTTTCCCATTGCATGGAAAAATTACATAATCCATCCTTAGTTTTATCTTAATGATCCTTTGAAGTTGAGGAGTCTTTGTTTAGCTTGCCGGTATAGGAAACTCTGAAGTTGCGAAAATGCACTGATTGGACGATAGACCTGAAAAGATGGAAGTACAATGGGAGCGCATTGAAGGCAAAAATTGTGACCGGTAAGCACACTACTCCGTATATAGGGAATGTTGCATATTTGAGTTTACTCTTGATAACAAAAGAATGAGCAGCGCATTAAGAGATCAAGAAAGCAGCTATGGATGTGAAGAGGAAAGTGAGTCCATATAGCAGCTTCATTGGGATATGTTTATAGAAATCCTTTTGTTGGCACCGCGAATTGAGGATTCCGAGGAAGAAGATGAGGGCAGTGACCGAGAAGCAGAAAGCTATGAGTGATGACAATGCAAATGCAGTAAACGCGGGTTGGCCATTAAGAATTGGATAGCCAGTGTTTTGATTCAGCCCACCAGGAACGGTTGTTGATGCGGCAAATGCCACAGTTGCATTCAGTGCTGCGATGACCGACCATGATTCCGAGGTCTTGATGAGCCATGTGGTGGCAAGTTTAGTTAGATTAGCATGTGTCTCTAAAAACACATCCCGTGGAGACTGCCCTTCATTGTTGTAACGAACACACGATTCTGGTGGCAGGTTAATCCTCACATACTGCATCTCATATATATAAAAATTATAAAAATAAAGATCAAATAGACCGGCAATATATTGAATTACACACAAAATTGTAATTTAGTTATCCAACTCAAATCAACTATAATTGGGTTCTCATGATCAACAACTCAAAATCAAGCAGTTAAATCAAAAGTGTCATGTTTACCTGACATAGCGGTTACCAAATTAAACAATAATTTTTTTTTAAATAATTTTAAATTTAAAAAAAATGTGGCTTCATTTACACTCGGCCGGATCTTCGTCTACGGCACGGACATGTAGAGCTTTTCATCTATGAGTAGAGCCGTCAAAACAGTCCCGAGGGGCGCGGGATAGGTCAAAACCCCTTTAAAACCCACCTTTTGGCAGGCTTGGAAGGTGGCCAGCCCACCTCGTCATGCCAAAGCCCGCCGGCATGGAGGGGCGTGCCACCAAACATTTTTTTGGCGACATTCTAGAGTATTTTTGTCATATTTTTCTCATACGGAGTTCAATTAAGATGATTCAAGTATCAATGAAAAAAATAAGAAAGTCGTCTACAACTTTTATGTTGAACACTTTAGGATATTCCAGACACATTGATACCAGAAAATCAGAACATTCGGACACATCTTGAGGAATTTGTCCTTCAACATGTTAATATTGTTTTGATCATATCTCATTCATATAATGTCCAATTAAGGTAATTCAAGAGAGTGCACTACAACTTTTATATTCAAAGTTTTCTTATATTCAGAGTAGAACTCCAAAATGTAGTCCAAACTTTGATGTGTCTAAGCTACTGAGTTAAGTTTTAATATTTTTTTAAATAGTAGGCCGCGGGCTAAACCCGCATCCCGCCTAGGCCCGTGACCCAGGCATTTTAGCCCGCCTCTGGCTGGGTTGAACATTTGATGAACTCGTCCCCTACCTACGGCAGAATGGGACAGGATGACCCTGCGGGAAAAATCCATTTTGACGGTTCTATTTTCGACAGATTGGAGACGAAGCCACATGTTTCTTTTTAAAAAAAATTAATTATTAAAATAAAATTTAAAACTTTATTTTTTTAATTTGATAACCGCCACATTAGCAACCAATCGTTATACTGTGCACCAGGGCGCACATAACAATGTGCGCCACGCACCTCCCAAAACGATGTCGTTTTGGTAACTCTTGTATTTTCAGGTATAAAATTCTGTGCATTCTATTATATAATTCTGTACTTTCTAAACATGAGAATTTTCAGTTACAAAATTTGTGTTTTCAGGTATAAAAGAGTTAATTACCGAAATGGTTCATTGACTAAAGCGAAATTACAAATTTGGTCCTTGAATATTTTTTTTGACCAATTAAGTCCCTCAACTTTAAAAATCTTAACCAATTTGGTCCTCCGTTTGTTTGATCGTTAGTCAATCGTTAACTTGGGACCAAATTAGTAATTCGCTATAGTTAAGGGACCATTTTGGTAATTAACTTTAAGAGTGGGCAATTCGGTTCAGTTTTCTCGAACCGAACCATACCAAACTAGTTAGATTCGGTAATATACCGAACAAGCGAACGGTTCGGTAAAAACTCGAACCGAACTGCATTGTTCGGTAAAAATCTAACTGAACCGAATACCGTTTGAACTTTGGATTGCTATTTTGTTATATATTAGACTTTAGATATGGACAATGTAAACACCATAACACATAATATATAACTTTTGATAACAAACCATAAAGAAATCAAATAAAACATTTACGAGAGATACTTGTGAGAATATGAGTTGAACGACAAAGCAAGAAACAAGGGACTTGGATTTACTTTTTATTTATTTATTTATTTATTTATTATTATTATTATTATTATTATTATTATTATTATTATTATTATTATTATTATTATTATATTTTTTTAAAAAAAAGTCAACGGTAATTGGTTCAGTTCAATTTTTTACCGATCGATTTTTTATCGAACCGTTCGGTATACAAGAATCCAATGCCGTTCTTGTTCGGTATATTACCGAACCAAACTAGTTCGGTTCGGTTCGGTACCAATTTGGTCTCAAGTTAGCGGTTGACTAATGGTCAAATAAACGGAGGACCAAATTGGTTAAAATTTTTAAAGTTGAGGGACTTAATTGGTTAAAAAAAAATAGTCAAGGACCAAATTGGTAATTTCTCTATAGTCAAGGGACCATTTTGGTAATTACTCGGTATAAAATTATGTGTTTTCAGGAATAAAATTCTATGTATTCTATTATATAATTCTGTATATTCGAAACATGAGAAGTTTCAGTTATAAATTCTTGTTTTCAGGTATAAAATTCTGTATATTTTATTATACAATTCTGTACATTCGAAACATTAATTTTTTTTTTAAAGGAGTTAACAGCAGACACTCGAAAAGGTCCAAAACGCTGTCGTTTTGGGCCAGGGCGCACAATGCGTTGTGCGCCCTAGTGCACACGGTATAATTTGCCATTAGCAACTAACAGGTAAACCGTGTTTGGTTCAATTGTTTGATTTTGCATTGTTCATTGAGCCAATTGCAATTTTTTTGAGTTCATCCGTAGCTTATTTGACCTTTAATTTATTCCTAAATTATATATATTATATTGAGAAATATGAAATTCCAGTTTTTTGTTGTTTTGAAAAATAAGCTGGTAATAAGCTAAGTGTTTTAATTTGATTACCTTGTACCATTTGAGTTCTCCTTGCAACTGCAATGCATCACCAGGACTTTGCCAATATTTTTGACCACTGTACATTGCAGCAAGGTGCGCCGCGCTGTTTCCCTTGTTGTCCACTTGATAGTGCACAAATGCTGGGAGCTTCTGCTTTTGCAAGAAATTGTAGACAGCAACTTGCCTGTTCTCAACAGCCAAAAGTAAGACATTCTTCTGATTTGGATCCACATCATGAATAGATATCGGGAATGTCTTGATGATTTTCTCTACTATCTTTTGGAGTCCCATTTTTGCTGCTGATAATATAGGTGTCTCCTTATGTTTGTTTGCCTCTGTAGTAGTACGTAGTTGTAGTACAGTAGAACAAATAATATATGAGTAGCATTACATTACATGTTATGTTTTAATTTGTTACAAGCTGATTAAGGTGAATTTAATTAATTGATTGATGTGTGGTCTAACGCAGAAATTAAGGAAAGCAATAGATAGATGTGTAATTTGAGTATAAATAAATAATTATGCGTGCCAAGCACCTTGCACAGATGGCACCTGGGTTGGACTCCCATATGGGAGGTTGTGAGTGTGCTACAGTAGATTGAAAAAGTAGTTATGAACAGATACTACATTGTAATAGAGTCAGTAGCATTAAAAAAGAAAAATAATTATGCATCTAACCTAGTTGGAGTATATATTATATTGTTTACCTGCAGGCATTGTTTCCTCTGAATCAGACTGGCTTGCATAATATATAAAAGGTGGTGTGATAGGAAGGTGAATTGGTTTGTTTGGAGGTTCTACAGGTTGCAGAGGTTTCCCCCCAGCATGCTGATACTTGTAATTAGCTTCATTCGGGATCAATTTTTCTAAGATCCGGACTGCCCATGTGTGCTTGCCTTTCTTTTCTTTGATTTTCGATATCCTACGAAATCCTGCATCCATGCATATATGCATCTTATTTTTTTTAGAATTTTCGCTAAATAATATATATATACTTACCCATTCCCAGTATGATGAGCATGAGTTTCATTACAAACTTGAGGAAACCAATATCTGTGTAGTAACAAATTCTTCTGTGAAATGCTCCTACAGGCCTTTGGTCGTCTTCGTCTGTCCCTTTATTATTTTTTATGTTACCTGAAACTTGAAATAATTAATGTATGTATGATCGAGGATAAATACCGTGAGATTGAGTGTCTTGATTCTCTGGATCATTATTTGGTTTTGCAGTTTTTTGAAAAGCTGGAAAGAAAAGAATGAAGCTAGCATGGTTAGGTTAGAACCGTTGTTGGAATAAGAGACTACATTAATGGGGAGAAGCAGAGAAAGCAGATTGAAGAAGAAGAAGATTGTTGTTATTCAAGTTCTCAGCTACAGCTTTACACGTTTATATATATAGAAGATGAATGTAAGGGAAATGACAATAATCTCCCTATGCTAAGCTTTCCTACTTCTTTATTTTCATTCTCTAACACCCCCCGGTAAGCTGGAGCATACAAATTTTGTATACCCAGCTTAGATAGGAAGGAGTTAAACAGAGATGTTGGAAGAGCTTTGGTCAGACCATCAGCAATCTGCCTTGCAGAGGACACAGATAACAGACTTCTCTACATCAGCAGTCTTCTTGAACTTTATTGTGTGCAATATCAAATTATTCCAATCACTCTAGAAGAACAATTTTGTTTTCTTTCTCCTTATTGTGCAATTCCAATTCCGCTATAGCAGAACATGCCAATCTAATTGGTTATATGCTCCCATGATAAAGAAGAGCCCAGCTTTTCAAGGTTTTCCCTTAGTGCTTTCCTCATCCCTATAATGCGATCGGCCATGCCCTTTACTTCTCCAAGCCACAATTTCTTCAATTCTGGATCACCTAGGATGGTAGAAACTATGAGGGCACCATGGACTGGTGGATTACTGTACATGGGCCTTGCAAGCTGCTGCAACTGACTTTTAACAACTACAACTTGTTTGTCATCATCACAGACCATACTCAGACACCCAACTCTCTGGCCATACAGTCCCATATTTTTGGCATATGACTGGGCACATCCAACTTGATGACCATCCTCAATGAATATCTGGATAGCTTTGGCATCCTTCTCTATGTTTCCACTGGCAAATCCTTGATATGCCATATCAAAGAAGGCAAAATGTCCCTTGACCTTGAGCTGATGAGAGATCTCCTTCCATTGTTCCTCTGTCGGGTCTACTCCAGTAGGATTATGGGCACAAGCATGAAGTAAAAAGAATGACCCATTTGGTGCATTCTTTATATCATCCATCATGCCAGTGAAGTCCAATCCTTTTGACTCTGCATGGTAATAACGGTATGTCTTTTGAGTGACATTGGCATCTCTCCAAATGTTATGATGATTTGACCAAGTAGGAACAGGAATAGAAATTTGTGAATCAGGACAAAAGCGTTTTTGGAAGTCTGCAAAAATTCGGCATGCACCCATCCCAGATAGAGATTGGATGGCTCCAATCCGCTTGTAGGCCAACATCAGAGATTCCTCAATCATGTTAATGCTTCCTCCCATTGGAAGATATTCCATGTTAAAACCACCCGCGATTCTCCGTTCTGCTTCCCGGACACACTCGAGCACCACCGGTTTTCCATTATCGTCACGGTAAGCTCCAACTCCGACATTGACTTTTTCGGGGCTAGGATCTGCGACGAACGCTTCAGTGACGCCGAGGATCGGATCTTTCGGAGCCGGCTCGACACTTCGCCACCATGACGACATGGATCGCGCTCCGACAACCGTGTTGGACTTGAGGATCCTACCGGAAATTGCAGCTCGGAAAAGCGCCATGACTAGACACAGAGAGATATGCGGATAGAGATATGATCGGAGCAAGAAAGAAACGGCGTCCTTGAGCTCTGCCTCCTGCAACGCCGCTTCATCCGCTCCAACTCCGACGATGCTCTTCCCCGTTTTATCACGGTCGGCCTTACAAATATCTCTCTGACCGAATTTTCGATTGAGAGGCGCAAACGCTGTGGCTGAATCGGAGAACAGTTCCGTCTTCTTCAGATTAAGAATCGCATTCTGTAGATCTGAGGTTTGGTGTGGATTACGAACTCCTTCATTCCGCTACGGAATAGCTGTGGAGGTCACCTGAACTGAAGATTGTGTGATCGGAATCGACGGAGCTCCTTCCTTCCGCTGCGGAAGGGCTATGGAGATCGCCAAAACTAGAGATCGAATGACCGGTAACGATGGACAGACTCGGATCGCTTTCCGCTGCGGATCGGCTACGGAAGTCTGCTCCAAAATCAAATTCCTCTCTGGAATCGCTGCTGATGCCGATCGAATTGGTGATCGAGCATCAGCTTTGTTGTTTCTACTCTGCGTAGCATTAATCCTCTCCACTCCCTGGGATTGAAGAAGATATATCAACTTATTCAACTGCTCAGATGAGATGCCTAGATCATCTGAGTTGAGGCTCCTGTGAGCACGATTGATTGAGTTCCTCTGCGGAACTGACTCTGGAACAATACGAGAAAGGAATCGCATGAATGGAGATTGTGCGATCGGAGTGGTAGCCAGCGTCTTCTGATTCACGCCGGCGACGGTAGAGACGGCGGCGGCGGCATAGGATCGCCGCTCTGATACCATGTTGGAATAAGAGACTACATTAATGGTGAGAAGCAGAGAAAGCAGATTGAAGAACACGAACACACATACATACATATTTAAGGACTCACATCCAGCTTTCACTTTTTCAAATCTCAGAATCCGATTCAATACTTCACTTCATAACTCACCTGTTATGAAACACAACAAAGTCATTTAAACTGTTTCAGCTCCTTGAATCACAACACTCATAACTTCATTCTTTCATCTTTATCTTTTCTCCTCACTCAAGCAAGCCATATGTTCATCTCACTGCCTTTAATACCTGGCATCTGCTATAAATTAACCAAGGATATATAAAGGGTAAACCAATATTATGCTAGGGATATGATGTTTCTCTTCGCTTTTTCTTCTTCTTTTTCCATAATAATAAAGGGTCTCCTTTCATAGTTGAAAATTTTCAGAATGATATTATTGGGTGCCGTGGGTACTGTACGTGTCTCTGTTAGCAAATAATTATTGTGTGAATCACGGGTTTTCAATTTTATAAATTAGAATAATGTATTTTATTTATTAGAATGATGTGTACTAGTATTTATCCGGATAAAAATTTATAAGTATTGTTGCAATGTTATGATACTAAGTTTAATTATTTTAATGTTATAATATTTTTAAAAGTTCAATTATGTTGATTAAAGGTTATTATATTGTTACTTGTGTGCCTTGATGTGCCAGGGGTTAACCTTAACAAGGAATTATTATAATTCTTAACTTATATAATTTCTAAAGACATAATTAAATTCACATAACTAGAAAATATAATGTTATGCTAGTGAACAATTATGTATGAAATTCAATAAGCTCATATCCAAATAAATTGTACACCATAATAACAATTTAAAATTAGCTATAACAGTATTATTCAAATAACAACATAAATCCCAAACTTAAAGGATTATAAAATTTGAATAATAATTTATAACAACCACATACTTTTCAATTATTGAAAAGTTTTAACTTGTAGGCCCAATACAAAAATGATTCAATGCATATAATAAACCTTTACTAGAACTACTTAAAATTGTAAATTCTAACCCTATCAAAATCATATGATATGTTGATGACATTTACAAATTAAATTCTCACAAACTAAATTTCATAATTTAAACCATAATATTATGCATGTAATTTAATTATATGCATAAATTAAAACAAACTCAAAAATATGAATACCAAATCAAATATTCATACTCAATCAAAGTGGACATCACAATCTAAAAAAATAATGATAACAATGTTACGATACATTGATTCTTCAATTCAAAAACTGGTAATCATTATTATTACTACAATAATAATAATAATAATACTAATAATTTATGTAACAATAATAACAGAACAATCAATTTCTTCAATTGTAACCCCTGAAATAACTATAAAATGTTACAAGATATTATCATTATTAACACATATTTTGGATTAATAATGAAATGGTTTCACAACTATGATTTAAAATTATACTATCAAAATTCAAAACTAATGACAATAGTAACAGTACAAATCATTGATCCATCGGTTCAGAAACCAATAATGATTATTACTATAATATTTCTAATAATAATTACATCACTAGTACAAAAAACATCAATAAAATCAAATAATTCGCGTCCAAAGTTTGAACTTTGGACACCTAAAGTGTAGTGCGGTGGCATTTTTGTAATTAAAATGCCACTATATAATTTTTTTTTAATTTTTTTTTTTTAAATTAAAAAGAATAAAGCGTCCAAAGTTATAGAACTTTGGACGCCTATTGTTAACCCGTTCAAATAATAGGAGTCCAAAGTACGTAACTTTGGACGCCCCTAGGGGTTTCGTCTCAGTTCTTATCAGTTTTACTCTCCACAAACCCTTTCGACCTGAAGAAAGAAACCCCTATAAATCTATCAGTTTTACTCTCCATAAATTCTTTCGACCTGAAGAGCGATTGAAGGTGACGGCGGTGATGTGAACAGTGGCGAAGACCATCGGCGTGAGTAGCGGCGACGGCCAGCAACGGCAAGCTGCGGCTTCAAGCACGTTGGCAGCGAGCCGGCGAGCAGTGGCAACGAAACCTCCGACGTTTAGATCTGCGTTTCCTCAGGTGCGGTGCTTCTTTTTTTTATTTTTAAGTTTTTTCCCAGATTTGTACTAGCTTTTTCCTAGATTTCTACCATCTTTGTTTCACACTTTCACGGATAATATATACTGATTTTTCATGTTTTATCCTTACAGATCTGGGATTGCGACAACCTAGGTTAGAAGGAGATGAATATTTGCTAGTTTATTCAATGTAATTATTCTGGTTTATTTTTGTTCTAGTAAGTAGATACTTTCAATTACTTATGCTCACCCTCTTGATTGTGATTATTTTTGTGCTGTTACATAAATACATAATGCATCATATAGGCTTATTTAAAAAGCCTTCTGATCTATAGAATGCTGCTTTTCCATAAGGCAAATATTCTCTTCAATGTTGAATTGCAGGATATGGTTTTTAAATGATTTCTTGGAACTACCAAACCTCCACCTAGAGTTGATTAGAAATGTATTTTTAGTCTGCTTGAATCTTTTAATACTTAATCTTAACCTTGTCCGTGTAAGCTCATTTGGAAGTTGAAACTTGAAACTACAAAAATATATACCATAAGGTTCGCCATCAAGCACATTTTCCTGCTCATTGAATACCATTTTTGTTCCATGAATCCATGATATCAAACTCTTAGCAGGCTACTTCTATACCTATATTTTAAGAATCTGCTAGGATATTGACTATTTTTCATCAATCATGGATAACGTGGTGTTGATATACTATTTACAGGTTCGAGGACAGCTTAGCTTATCAAGTGGTTCTGCTTTAACTTTTGGGCTTATGCAATTTGCCTTATCGGAATTTGAATTGATGGCAGATGAGCTATTGATGAGTGACTCAATAATTAAGGTGAGTCTTTTTATTTCTTAATGTACTTTTATTTGCTTTAATTTCTTTTATTCTCTTACATTTCTCAGTTATGACAACATATTAAAGTTCATTACTAGAATCTGACAACATGTTTTGGATGTTAGACTCTGTAGCTAGAGATTTTTTTACTGGGCCTATGAGAATACAATTGAATTATTATTCAAACCAACTGAATAAGGGTGGCCATCTTAATTTTTTAGCTGTCTTAATGCAAGTCTTTTGTCCAACCTTGATTATTTTATCCTAAGTTGAGATATGGCTTACTTGGACTCTTCACTTCACCCCAACTTAGTGCCATTTGACACTTCTGAAACAAACATGGTTGGATATAGATCCTCAAAAAAGCATATATGACTTATATTGTCTTATAAAGAAACACTGATGTTGAACTTCTTTCAATAACCACAAAATGGAGCAGCATCCTTCTTTCTTTATTACATATTTTTAAACTTATTTTTGGTGGTAAGATATGTTTCTATTACTCCTGTCATTTTTAGATCTATGGGGCTTTGCGGATGTCTGTGAAAATCCACTTGATGTTGAATTCCAAAATGCTTATAGATGGTGAAGGTGATGCAAATGTTGCAACATCTTTACTTGAGGCTAGCAATTTAATTAGTGGTTCTAAAGGTATATAATACTTTGCATCCTTTTTTATCGTTTAGTCTTTTTGATTTTGGATATTTGCTATTTTTAATCACATTTGTGAATCAACAATTAATGCTCAGGGTTCATCCATTATAGATTCAAACGCAAACTTGGGAGTTCATGGATAAGGTTCATTGAACTTATCTGGACCTGGAGAGATTGAGGCTCAGCATTTGGTTTTATCACTGTTTTACAGTATAAATGTAAGACTCATAAATTTAAACATGCAATTCAATTTACAGCATTTGTGTAAGGATCAGAAATTGGTTTTATCAAAATTTTTTTACAATTTTATTGCTATGTTTTTATTGTTTAACTTAATAATATATATATATATATATATATATATACATAAAAACTTATATTTTGTAGTGTTCTCAACAACCCGGTTCATTTGAATTGTAATGTTATGTTACTCTTGATATCTCTCTTATAGGAAGGTAAAAGACTTCTAAAAGAACTTTTGCACTTAGTTCCAGAGTTCAGTTGATCCTTTTTCTTTCAGTAATTGCTATATTATGTTCATAGTTCCCCAGGGAAATAGTTTTTTTCACTTTAACTACTTATCTAGGACTAATACCACATATTATGTTTTAATAATCCTGCTTTTTGTGTTTTATATTAGCTGATGAACCATAATGGTTCTCTCTAATGTGTCTTGTTGAATTACTGTAGGTTGGGTTGGCTGATATTCTAGATATGTATGAAGATGTGTATACACTTCCTTCTAAACAACTGTCTTCTGTGCAGTTGCAAAGGCTATGAATATTTCTTCTCGTAAGGTATTTCATTTGCATTTGAGACTACTGCCTATACCCAAAGCTCTAAAATATTTTATTTCTTGTTACTTTCTGAAACTGTGACAGGCTGACAATGTGACTTCTCATCAGAAGAAGACAATTAGTTTAGCCCTTTCTATAATTTTGACATTAAGGCTGCCTCAAGTACTAGATAAATTCGAACAAATTCTAAGGTATTTACTCAGCTTTTATTTTGATTCATTGCTGCATATTTTCTGGTTTTATATATAAATAATTCAAATACTGTAAATAATGATCCCTCGGTTGGATATTTTCTGGTTTTTCATGGATACAATTACTAATACTGCAAACTTTTAAAACATTTTTCGGGAAAATTTCAAAACTTATAAAATTAAAACCTGAAAAACATTAATGTTTGTTATTGACTGTGTTATAGAATATTCTGTGTGATTGAGTATCCCATATTTTAGGAAACTAAATATTGGCATACCATATCAGTTTAGAATCTGCTTGTATTTAAGGAGTGGTTGACTAACCCTAGAGACACACAGAATGAGAGAGAGAGCTACACAAAGGTATGCTTCTCACTGCTTTAACATGGTAACAGAGCAAGGGCGATAGTATTTTTTTTTCCGGCGTCTCCTGTCCTCACCGTCGGTCCACCGCCACTCGCCGTCGTCCGGCGACCTTGCCTGGAAATTTTCAGGCCGAGTCGACCTGCGCGTGAGGCTCACGCGCCACCGACAGCCGCGCGTGAGGGGTCTCCGGCTACCGGAATTTCTTCCGGTCGGTATTCCAAGGGTCGCCTGAGTTCGGGGATCTCGGTTCCGAGCTCAGTTTGGACCAGTTTCGCGTCGGTCTTTTCGGTTCTAAGGTCAGGTTGTTTCGTTACCCTTCGGCTCCATTTTTTGTGTGTTTTCTGATCAGTTTGCGGTCATAAATTTGTGGGTATGGTTGGGAATACGTCTGTGGTTGTTACTGATATAGTTCCTGTTAATTCTAAAATCACGGATTGTAAGCTTAATGACTCTAATTACTTGGAATGGATTCATGTCATTAAGCTTTATCTTACTAGTTTGGATAAGAGTGACCACCTATCCAAACCTTTAGCTGACCAAGATGCTACTTGGGTACGAGATGATGCCCGTTTGTTCCTACAAATCTGTAATTCCATTGATGAGGGTATTGTTGGGTTCATTAGTCATTGTGCCTCTATTAAGGAGTTGATGGAGTATTTGGAATACTTATACGCTGGGAAAGGGAATATCACTCGTGTTTATGATGTTTGTAAGTCCTTTTTCCGTGCTGAAAAACATGATTTGTCTCCCTGCATACTTTATGGAATTTAAGAAGACTTATGAGGCACTTAATCAGCTTATGCCATTCACTGCTGACATTAAAGAGCAGCAAAATCAAAGTGAACAATTGGCTGTTCTGAGTTTTTTGGCAGGTCTCCTTTCTGAGTTTGACACGGCGAGGTTTGTAATTCTTAGTAGCTCTGCAATCCCTTCTCTTGCTAATGTTTTTCCACGTCTGAGTCGATCAGTGCAATCGCAACCAAGTATGCTTGAGGCTGCCATCCCATCCAACAATGATCTCGTTGGCCGTCATCCTCGCAGTGGGAATGGAAAAAATTCTCAGGGATACACTTTTGGTGGTATTGTGTGTCATTATTGCCATAAGCCTGGCCACATAAAAAGGGACTGTAGGAGATGGTTGAGGGAGCGAGGAAATCTGACTGCTAATACTGCTTCCACAACTGAGGCATCTTCCAAGTTGATCACTGTATCTGCCGACGAGTTTGCCAAGTTCTCTGAGTATCAAGAATCTTTAAAGCGTTCATCCTCTTCAGTCACTGTTATTGCTGACTCAGGTAATGCAACTACGTGCCTTCTCTCGGGTGCCACGATCATATGACAGGTAACTCTAGTCTGTTTTTCACACTTTTTTCTCGCCCACATAGTTCTCTCGTTACCTTAGTAGATGGTTCTACCTCCCATGCTCTTGGGTCTGGTACCATTACGCCCATCCCTTCGCTCCCCTTGTCTTCTGTCTTGCATCTACCTAATTTTTCATTCAACTTAATTTCGGTCAGCCAACTTACTCGTACTTTAAACTGTTCTATTACGTTCTTCCCTGATTATTATCTGTTTCAGGATCTTTTGACGAAGAGGGTTATTGGTAAGGGGCGCGAGTTTGGGGGCCTCTACGTTCTTGACACCACGAGGCGGGAGCCTGTTGCTTGTTCAGGTGTCGTCACTCCAGTAGAAGCTCATTGTCGTTTGGGGCATCCTTCCCTACCCTTGTTGAAGAAATTGTGTCTGCAGTTTTCAAGTTTGTCTTCTTTACATTGTGAGTCGTGTCAGTTGTCCAAGCACTATCGTGTGCCTTTGAGTCCTAGAGTTTACAAACGAGCATCTGCTCCTTTTGAGTTAGTGCATTCTGATATTTGGGGTCCGTGTTCTGTGACCTCCAAACTCGGTTTTAAATATTTTATTACGTTTGTTGATGATTTTTCTCGAATAACATGGTTATATCTACTGAAGTCTTGTTCTGAACTTTTTGAGGTGTTTTGTGGATTCTGCGTTGAAATTAAGACTCAATTTGGTGTTCCTGTCAAAATTTTACGTAGTGACAATGCTAAAGAATATTTTTCGCTCCCTTTTGTCTCTTATATGCGTCAGAAGGGTATGTTACATCAATCCTCTTGTGTTGATACGCCTTCTCAGAATGGGGTCGCTGAGCGCAAAAATCGGCATCTGCTTGAAACTGCAAGAGCCTTGATGTTTCAAATGGGGGTTCCCAAGCAGTTTTAGGCTGATGCCGTTTCCACAGCCTGTTTCTTAATCAATCGGATGCCCTCTGCGGTCTTGAGTGGGAAAACACCTTTCCACACTCTGTTTCCTTCAAAGTCTTTGTTCCCTGTTGACCCGCATATATTTGGCTGTGTATGCTTTGTTCGGGATGTCCGTCCCCATGTCACCAAGTTAGATCCCAAGTCTTTGAAGTGTGTGTTTCTTGGATATTCCCGTGTGCAAAAAGGGTATAGGTGTAACACCCCAGATTTTCAAGACATTTAAAACTTATAATAAAGGTAGAATCTTATTAAATATAAATACAAGCGTTCGGGGTGCTATGCCACACCTGGGCTAGAGAACCCAAGTGCACAGGCTAACTAACTAATATCCTCAAAGCGTAAATACGTAAACGTGGCACGCAGGACAAAAGGGAAACTATCTACTTCTAAGTTCTAGCGCACTCCAGTGACTTAATCTTCTGTGCCTGAAAGCCAAATATATCTGTTCAGCGAGAGATGCTGGTAACCCACTCCAACGCGTTGAAATACAATACATATAGAGATATATATAGATATACGAAAGCCATTTTGAGCATGAAGATATATCCTACGAACTCTAGCTTTTAAAACCGGGAATGACTCGACAGATAAGGCCAGACACGAGCAACAGTTATAACAAACATATGCAGTTCACAACAGATAAGGCAAAGCATAAACAATAGTCACAACCCAACATAAACAATCCCCAACATAAATCCCATAGTCACATTCCCCAAGACACTCATAATCACCACTCATTCATATCACAACACATAGCACACTTTGTTGGCGCCACAGGACCAATCGCATGCCCATACATGAGGGTCAGCGCATATAGCTCTGACACGGCCCCGCAGCACCCTGCCCCGTATCGCAACACGGAGGGGTCGATCGCAACCGACCGATGAACCGCAGCTCATCATAGTGTTTGATCGCAACCAAACAGTGGACCGCAGCCCAAGAGAATGTCATCTGACCGCAGCCAGGAAAAAGGACGAATCGCAGCTCGTATAGAAACGTTTGATCGCAACCAAACGGTGGACCGCAGCCCAAGAGTATCAATCTGACCGCAGCCAGCTTCTGAACCGCAGCTCAGGATAACCAATCCGATCGCAACCGAATTGGGGTAACACACACATAACACATAGCAAGCACATGCAACCCACATTACACATTAGGAAGGGGGAGAAAACGTATAACAAAATCTATGCGTGATCCATCACTTACTAAGAATAGTCCTAAGGGGTTCATACTTCTTCAACCTAGGTCAACGGGATACCAATTCAACTAGCATGCAATATAATAGACTCATAAACCTACGAACGGTACCCGAAACATCAAACTAGACATAGGCACGATAAACGGAGTCCGTTGGGACACCACGGGGAACGGGGAACATCAAACGGGAAAGCCGGGATCCCGGGTGGGATGAATTTCCAGCGGGTAGCCGGTGGGTGGGGGCCACCCGCCGGCTTCCCGCCGGAGAATACTGTTCCGGGCAGCGGGTCGCCGGCGGGCAGCTGCCCGCCCGCCGGCCACCCGCTGCCGGGCGGTGCTTCACGGCCATGGGTAGGTGGCGGGTCCCCTACCCCCCACCTATCCCCCATTGACTCTTTTCACACACTTTACGCCCTGGGAACCATTGTGGAACCCGAAACCATGCTTAGACACTTTACAACGCAATTAACGACAACACGTAGACAATTAACGAATCAAATACAAGAAACGAACGACACATAACCTATCATGCTTTTCTAAATATAATCAACACCCAAATATGCGATTTTCCCACCCGATAATCCAAGAATAAGATCATACGATACAACCTAGGGTTCTAATCACTTTTATATCAACAAGAATACGGTTCGTCTTCTAATTGCAAGATTCGGTAAGAATAACACATAAACATCAAGAGCATCACACAATTATCAAGAACGACACATAATCATCAAGAACTCCATATAATTATCAAGAACACCATAGTTATCAAGAATCTCCCAATATCAAGATCATCAAGATCCCCCATGGGATCATCACATCAATTACCAATAATAATCATCATAACTCGCCAATATACAATAATATGGGGAAACCCTAAGGGGGAATTATAACTATGAAAATAGGTTTTGTTGAGACATGGGTTACCTCTTAGCCTTAATTAATTCCTTGGCTATGAAGGGTCTTTCTTTAAGCTTTCTTGCTTTCTTGATTTCTTCTAAGGGAATTCTTGGAGCTCTTTTGGGATGGTGAGTCGTTTATTGTGATGGGGGTTTCTAGGTGCCTCTTAAGTCCCCTATTTATATATTTAGGAGTCCTAATTAGGAACTAATATTATAGGCTTGCTAATTCTATTCCTTTTGGGACTAAGGATTGGGTTCCATGGTCCATAGTGGACCATATAAATTAATTAAAGAGAATCCTAATCATAATCTGAATAGTAAAAGACCTACTTCCTTTATTCCTAATAGATAACTAGGTCTAGGATTCCTAATCAGAATCTGAATAGTAAAAGGTTTACTTTCTTTATTCCTAATAGGCTTAAGGCTCTAATTTATGCAAGGGCCCACGGTTCATGGTGGGCCTTATTAATTAATTAAAGGAAAACCTAACCGAATTAAATCATATTTAATTATTATTAACGGGATTAATTAAATAATTAATCCGGGATTGAAGGCCGTAACACGGGGTGTTACACTCTCCCCCCTTACGAGAAGCTTCGTCCCCGAAGCTTGGAAATCATTGCAGGGTTAACGAGTCAAGAGAAGAACCGTGGTCCTATAGAGAAGGTATTCCACGGGGAAATTGTATACTTGCACGCCTATGTGTGTTGGGTTTTTGGGAACGATTAGGTTTACAGGGCTAAGAGAGTGGGTTTCAAACTTGAGGACATGGTGAATTCAGGAATTAGGATCGTGTTTTCGAGGTTGCAACTTAGGTTGTGAGGTTGCCACTTGTATGGAATCGTTAAAACATGGGATTGAGAATGGGGTCTGAAGGGTAGAAAGGGTTTGGAAATAAGGAAGGGGCCGATTTTCCGAGGGAGGAAAAGGAATTCGGCTAGGATGGGTTATGTAACACCCCTGATTTTCAAGACATTTAAAACTTAATAATAAGGGTAACATCTCATTAAATCCCAAAGCGTAACATAAGTGTACAGGGTGCTATGCCACACCTGGGCTAGAGGACCCAGGTGCACAGGCTGTCTAACTACTATCCTCCGAAATATAAATGCATAACATGGCACGCAGGCCGAAAGGGAAACTATACTACTTCTACGCTCCAGTTCTAGCGCGCTCCAGTGCTCTAATCCTCTGTGCCTGAAAGCCAAATATATCTGTTCAGCGAGAGATGCTGGTAACCCACTCCAACGCGTTGAAATACAATACATATAGAGATATATATAGATATACGAAAACCATTGTGAGCATGAAGATATATTCTACGAACTCTAGCTTTTGAAACCGGGAATGACTCGACAGATAAGGTCAGACACAAGCAATAATGATAACAACATATGCAGTTCACAATAGATAAGGCAGATAAGGCAAGGCATAAACAATAATCACAACCCATCATAAACAATCCCCAATATAAACCCCATAGTCACATCCCAAGGCACTCATAATCACAATCTCGTCCATATCCCACACATAAGGCACGTTGTTGGCGCCACAGGACCACTCGCATGCCCATACATGCGGGTCAGCGCATATAGCTCTGACACGGCCCCACAGCACCATGCCCCGTATCGCAACACGGGGAGGTCGATCGCAACCGACCGATGAACCGCAGCTCATCATAATGTTTGATCGCAACCAAACAGTGGACCGCAGCCCAAGAGAGTGTGTCATCTGACTGTAGCCAGGAATTCCCATCTGACTACAGCCAGCCTCTGAACCGCAGCTCAGGAAAATGTCATCTGATTGCAGCCAGGAATTCCCATCTGACTACAACCAGCTTCTGGACCGCAGCCCAGGATACCGTCATCCGACTGCAGCCAGGAATTCCCATATGACTGTAGCCGGCTTCTGAACCGCAGCTCAGGATAACCAATCCGATCGCAACCGAATTGGGGTAACACGCACACATAACACGTAGCAAGCACATGCAACCCACATTACACATTGGGAAGGGGGATAAAGCGTATAACAAGCCTATGCGTGATCCATCACATACTAAGAATAACCCTAAGGGGATCATACTTCTTCCACCTAGGTCAACGGGGTACCAATTCAACTAGCATGCAATATAATCGACTCATAAACCTACGAACGGTACCCGAAATACCAAACTAGACATAGGCACGACAAACGGGGTCCGTTGGGACACCACGGGGATCGGGGAAACATCAAACGGGGATGCCGGGAGCCCGAGGTAGGGCACTTTCCAGCGGGTAGCCGGTGGGTGGGGGGTCCACCCGCCGGCTGCCACTGTTCCGGGCAGCGGGTGCCCGGCGGGCAGCTGCCCGCCCGCCGGCTGCCCGCTGCCGGAACTGCCCGAGAATGCCGCGGGTAGGTGGCGGGTCCCCTACCCCCACCTACCCCCCACTGACTCTTTTCACCACTTTTCGTCCCGGGAACCGTTGTGGAACCCGAAACCATGCTTAGACACTTTTCAACGTAATCAACGACAACACATAGACAATTAACGGATCAAATACGATAAACGAACGACACATAACCTAACATGCTTTTCTAATCATAATCAACACCCAAACATGCGATTTCCCACCCGATAATCCCAGAATAAGATCATACGATACAACCTAGGGTTCTAATCACTTTTATATCAATCAAGAATACGGTTCGTCTTCTAATTGCAAGATTCGGTAAGAATAACACACAAACATCAAGGATGCCAATTAATCATCAAGAACATCATAATCCTCAAGAACAACACCTAATCATCAAAATCCCAATTAATCATCAAGAACATCATAATTATCAAGAAACTCCCAATATCAAGATTATCAAGATTCCC